TGTATTCGAAATGTTATTTTTTTATTTAATTAATTAATTAATTAATTTTATTTTTCTATTTTGTATTTTAAATAAATGTACAAAAACCATTTTGCATTTTACATTTTAAATACAATATCTGAATACATTTTGCATTTTCCATTTTAAATACTTATTTAAATGCATTTTACCCACCTCTGCTAACGTCGAGCGGTGATGTAGGTAAATAACAAAACATTTATATGCGTTATTTCTTAGACCATATAGTGTTTATTTTGAAGTCGCCCATATTGTCGCCGGTCGGCAGTTTGAAATTTTTAGGCCCGGTTGTTCAATCATGGTTTAAACTGCAGATTAGCTTAAACTGGCGTTTAAAGCTGTAAGCTTAGTTTAATGCATTGCACCACTGCGGTTTAACGTTAAACTCGGTTTAGATTAGAGGTTTAACTAAACGGTGAAAGAGGGCCGTTTAACGGTCCTAAACCGTCAAACATAACCCCAAATACCTACATAATCAAACAAACGCGAAAACGTTATTCTTGTCATTTTGGGCTGTTGGTTTCATGGTTTGTTAATCAAGATGAACTACACGGATTTTGATAAGCCAATTACTGATGATGAAGGTTTTTTGGAGCTAATGCAGCCGTTTTTGGACGATGAAGAAGAACCTCTCATTCCAAGCAATTCCTCTATTTGCTCGTCTACATCCGTCGTTATTATTTTCTTCGCTGGCCCTTCCCCAGTAGCATTTAAATATCTCTTTTTATTTGCAAATTTTTTCTTTAAAACCTTTTTTTGCTTCTGAGTGTTTTCGCATCCCTTCCTTGACCTCCTGCAGCATTAAACTCCTCAGCCTCATGCAGCGTCTTTGATGCGGTTATTAAGAACGTCGGTTTTTTTACACTCTATTGTTGCTCGAAACTTTTTGACGAGCTGCAGAAGCATCGCATCGTTGGATTGAAGTGTACAGATCGTGGTCGCTTCCGTACTAAATCACCATTCTCCATTTCCAAACGGTGTTACTAGCCATGATTAATTACACAAAAAATACAGACACTATTTCAATCACGAACAAAACAACATACACGCTTGTAAACAAACCAAATTTGAAGTTTGAATAGCGTAAACGTCAAAATTTGAGCGGATTACAGTGTTGCCACCAATAGAAATTTCATTAAACGCAGTTTAGTTAAACTCTCCCTAAACTGCGAATGAGCAACGCAATAAAAGATTAACTGTGGATTATCTTAAACTACAGATTACCTAATCTGCAGTTTAAACCGTGATTGAACAACCGGCCCTTAATCGAATGGGCAGCGTTCAAGTCGCCCAAACTGGCAACAGTGCCACCATCTCTGAATTTATAAGAAAATGCACAGTGGCGTAGTACCTGCATGGTATGAAAGGGTATACGGTGACTTTGATATATATGTATGTACTTAATTGGAATTAGCATTCAACGTATGTTATTTCGCTTGCCTGATGCTAGAAAGAGATTGGAATAGTACGTTGAACTCTAATTTATTCCAAAGATTTCCTGAATTATTCACAATTAATACACTCCATTAATATACGACCAATCAGCTTGGTTATTGTTTCAAATTCTAACCAATCAGATGATTTTTTATCTGATTAAACGCTAGTTAGCTAAAACACACTCGTTCTTGGTTTTAAATCAGGGTAATTTTATTTTTAATTCACTCTAATTTGTTGTGTTGTAGTTCCAACCAGGTGGCGTATTACCATTATATTATACAACGCAGAGCGGTCCATTTTCTGCAGAATGCTCTATGCTTTGGCGATGATATATGCCACCAGGCGCATTTGAAATTCTTACTGTCCTTATGTATTAACAAATATGTTTTAAAATTGGGTTTGTACTTGGTGACAAAATTGTACCGGTCACACTTTAAATTCAGGGCAGGATTTATGTTTGGTAATCAAATCGCACTGGTCACACTTTAAATTCTTGGTGGCGTTGTGTGTTAATAAATTTGTTTAAATCTATCATTCGTGGCATAGTCACACTGGACACTTTTTAAATTCGTGGCCGATTCACATTATAGGTCACGTCACGCTCAGATCACGGTGCGGTCAATTATTATAGCGTGCATTAATTTCTTGCAGCCTATTCACATTATCGGTCAGGTCACGGTCGGAACACGATCTTCAATCTATTACCATTGAGAGTAAGAAACTTAGACATAGTTACATTGAAATATAAATTAAAGACTTTCCTTTTACAGAAAGCCTTTTATAGTGTCTATGAATTCGAAATTTGTGATTTAAGTGCTATTTAAATAATATGTTTTCCTTATTTGACTTCTGTAAATGCACAATTCTAAGCATGTTAACAGCAATAAACATTATTATTATGGTCGGTGTATCTTGTGAGAACTCAGGTCTAGCCTGGTTAACTAATCGCACGGATTAAAATCAGTAACGATTAGTGTCTGTGTCTGTGTCTGGTGAAGTTATGTAGGGTTCTAAAAAAAATAAAAGAAATAAATAAATAAAATAAAAATTCACACCCTCACATTGGAAATCTAGAGATAGTATGTATTTCATACTTACCAACATAGCTATTGATGGGCACAATAGCCAACGCTATTATTTTATTATTATTATTCATAAGAAATACACTGGATGACCTTTGCTAAGCCTATCCCACTTACACTGGTGAAGTCTTATTTTCTTAGGAGTTACCGGAGTCACGATCGTGAGCAAGCCTTTGATGTTATATGCTCGAAAAATGACAAGAAAATGTTTTGAGCGACATACACGAAATGTACCCTTTATATAAAGCCTACGAGCAAAAATAAGAGGAGAGAATATAACGGTGGTGGAAAATAGCATAGCATGCGACTGAAATCGTCAAAATGTCACTTCCTTTGCGCTAGTCAGTTATGTCGACTTGACTTATAATAAAACAGAAGAGACGATGTCAGTTTTGTTTTATTACACCACTGCCAATAATGACGCGTTTCTTCTCACTCTTCTCGCACTTTTATAACTTCCTTTTTTGTCAATTTCCGTCAAGCTCCCTTTTAATGCAAGGTTCTCTGCTTTTATTTTTACTCGTAGTACAAAGCCTACGACGATGCACAGATTTTTAAGAGCAACAGCGCGGCCAACCGTGATTAATATCATAACCCTTTTTTACGTCACTTGTCCCAATGGTACTCATCTTTACGCTGGCAGGACCCGAACGAGGGGCCAATTGCTTGTCTTAGGGGTAAGACCCCTCCAAAAAAACTTAATCTATGTGCGTTACGAGTTGCTATTCACCTTTCAATGTTGCTTTTCACAAAAGGTCAGCCTCCTCTTCTAGAGGAATCTTGTTTTGTAACATTCCTTTAACTCAACCAGTTTTTTGTTTTATTGCAACTTGCTTTGTTGTTGCTATCATGTTTTGTGTATATGATTTAACTGCTATTATTCTTTATTATCAACAGTGGCTGACTAAGGGGGGGGGCGGCAGGGGCGGTCCGCCCCGGGCCCCGTCACTAGAGTAGGCCCCCGATGCGTTGCAACTGCAAAGAGAGAAAAAAAAGACCTAGTATTGCTGGCCGGGGTGGCCGGTGGGGAGGCGAGCGGCGGTCGGCGACGGCGTCGGGTCGGTATTCAGCAGAATAAAAGCGCGGAAACATAAATTTTAAGATTTCATCATTTGTTATGTATCAATAAAACCTTATTCACATTCATAGCATTTTTCTATTCGTTTGTTGTGATTCATGGGTTAGAAAAGTAGGGCAGGTGGGGCCCCACTCTGAAAATCGTCCCAGGCCTCATACACCCTTAATCTGCCACTGATTATCAATCGATTAATGCTACAAATCATTTGCTCGTTAACTACATTTTCACTTTGTTCATTCGAGGTTATTGACTGCTAAACTAACCGATCCAAATCTGAATTCAATATACGTTCCCCATTTTGCGTCTTTTTCAACTGCACGTACTCCAGGTCATATAATAGCGTTATTTACAATTTCCCCAAAGAGGCGCGCTGCTTTAGGTGGTTCCATCACGTGTCACTCTTTCATTTCAAATTTAAGCGGAATCTTGGTTTTTGGAGGGAATAACCATTCCAGTGGCAACCAACACCAGAAAACATTTTTAAAATCTTGACAACTGAAATATGGCGTATAACAACGAACTTTTATTAAAATGCAAAATGTCATCAAAAATGTTTTTCCAATTGTTGGAGATCTAACGCGTCTGGACGTTTTCTCAGGCAAATTTAGTGCACAAACAATCTGTTTTCCACGTTGACATTGTCATAAAATAATACATCAAATGCAAATCTTTGACCTTCCCAAGGTTTTTATTAAATGAAATTGGTGCATCTAAATAAATAAATAAATAGAGATCGCCGAAATGTGTTGCGATGTCCGATTCCAAATTTCAAACAAGAAGTACCGTTGGCGTATATAGAGACACCGTTCACACAAGTACCGTTGGCATATACAGGGTGTTACATGATCGCATGTAAAAAAATTGATTGGTAGAGGGGATTAGGACAAGCACTTTTTCCCAATAAACCGAGGGTCCAAGGTGTTTCGTTTGGGAACCACCCCCAAAGAAGGGGTGAAATTTGAATTTCGTCTAATTTATTTCTGAGCAACCATAAGGGTTACAAAGATGCGTGGCACGTCTTTGAAAAGGTTTTCGTGGTTGCCCTATCCGATTTTCAAAAAAAAATTTGAAAATTACTACCACGAAAGGGCGCACCCTTACTTGGGGGTGCGAAAAAAATTCTGATTTCGACGAAATTTGATATCTGGGAGTTTTTGAACATGAAAATGACGAATCTGGAATTCGTTTTTGAAAATTCGAAAAAAAAAGTTCCACTGCCATTCTTGGCCGGACAACAAAAAGGGAGTCAATTTCACGAAATTTGTTGTGTACATACTTGATCAGTTAAGCAGCAAAATTGTCGAACAGTTTCTTAAAATAACTTTTTAGAAATCTGTGAATCTCTTCTACAATAAAATGACCGACAGGAAAACTCTAAACCCGTGTTTTATAATTTATCAGAAAAGCGTTGACATATATGTGTACAGAGTTGGATTGCTAATACTATAAATTCCCCCTCTTAAGTACGTACACTGAACATCCAATTCCAAATGTGACAGCTAAATATGGTAATACGTTACCAATATTTATGGATTAAATGGTGCCGGTTAAACGCACTTTTGTGATTTGTGGCATAATTGCAAAGATCACATTTAAAATCTTTAACAATTTTGTGAGTTAAAAGGTGGGATTTAAGCTGGCGTTTAATATTTGTCGAATAATCACAATTAGCGCATTTAAAATCGTCTTTCGAATGCTCGTGTCGTAACAGATGGAGGTTCAAACTGGACTTATAATGCGTTCTATACTCACAAATGTTACATTTGTAACCTTTTGAAATCTTATGGGTCAAAAGATGTGATTTTAGATTGCATTTAATATTTGTTATATAATCGCAATTGTAACATTTAAAATCTTTTGAAACATTTTTATGCCTTAAGAGGTGGAGGTTCAAGCTGGATTTGTAATTTGTTCTATATTCACAAATGTTACACTTGTAACCTTTTGCGACTCTATGACTCAAAAGATGTGATTTAAGATTGTTTTTAATATTTGTTACGTAATCGCAATTGTAACACTTGAAATCACCTTTTGAAGCTATGTGTCTCAAGAGATGCAAGTTCAAACTGGATTTATAATGTGTTGCATAACCACAAACGTTGCATTTGAATTCTTTAGCAACTTTGTGAGATAAACTGTGGTATTTAAGTAGCCGTTTAGTATTTGTTGTATATTCACAATGATCACATTTTAAATTGCTGTGTGTTAATAGATGTTGTTTAAATGCAGCTTCAATATTAGAAGAAAAACCACAACTGTCACATTTAAAATCTTTGTGTTTTAGAAGGTGACGTTTAAAATTACATTTAATGTTCGTTCTATAGTTACAATTATCACACGTAAAGCGTTTGATAATCGTATGTACTTTGAGATGTTGGTTCAAATATCTTTCATTGTCCGTAGCATAATCACAATGGTCACATTGAAACTCTTCAGAAATTTCATGAGTTAAATGGTGGAATTTAAGTTGGTGGTTGTTATCTGTTGCATAATTGCAAACGTCACATTTAAAATTTTGACTGTCTTCACATGTATGGTGGTATTTAGGCTCATACTTAAATTCTTCTGAACTTCCAGGTTCAGGAGTTGAGCCGAAATCGTGTTGTGGCAGATCTACGCGGTGGAAAAGTCCTCCACCGAGGATAGCCTCTTTCGGTTCGTCTTTTACCGATGCCTCGGTGTTGCTCTCCAAATAGGACTTTATCTCTGGTTCTACTTTTACTTCAAGCTTAACGGGAGCAGAGCCATCAACTTCGAACATTATGAATCCTGCATTATTGAAAAAAATCCTATCGTAAATTCGTAACGAAGGAAGAGCTTACCCTATGGGAGTGTGATATCAATAATTGGTTTAATTAGAAGTAATAATTTGAAATTGCATATCCGAACGGTGTCAAAGTAAATGGACAATTCTTACAAAATTACTACACCCAAATTTCTAACCTCAAAATAGTCACCATTTTTGGATAAATGCAGTGACGTAGTACCCGTTTAGTACTAGCGGGGGCTGCTTATTATAACACTGTGGATTTCATCCTTTATTAGCACCAAAACTTAGTTACTTCTTGTTTTAGTTAGATAAGATTTTAGTGAGTAGTGGAAACTTCGCCTCAAGAATATATAAGGGGGGAAAAAAATCTTTATTTATGTGGTTGTTTTGACGCAAAAAAAACAAGTTCTACCTTCAATTTAACTTTGTAAACTCAAGATCCCGTTATAGAACCGCCTGAGAGGTTCCACGGGGGAAAAGCTGCCTGCACCATCTAAAAAGCCCGGAGGGGGATTACGTTTGGCATGTTCCTGAATGGCGGTCGTGAATGCGTCGCTCCATAAATGTTTGTTGTTAACTTGTTATTTTGTGTTATTTAATGCAGGTAGTAATTTTTGCATTTCTTTATATCGTATTTGTGTTTTGTATGCCGCATTTTATATTTTGTGTGTGTTTGAATCTTTATTTTTGAAATTTACTTGTTTTAACCGCAATGCAGAATGAAATGTGTAATACCGTTATCCTATTGTTTGTAATTGTTTACGTTTTTGATGTAATGTTTGCTTAATTTATGTTTATTGATGTTGATTACTTGGTCTTGTCCGTGAAATAACGTTCATATAAGTTTTATTTTATTTTAATATGTGGAAATTGCTGATTCGTTTGATCTATGTACTGATTTGTTGTTTGTTACTAACAATTTTCAACGTTAATGAAGCAGTCACGGGGGTGGTAAAAACTGTAGTCAAATTTGAGCTACGACATCTAATTCCGTAATTGTTTTCGACATTTAACTGTAGGCTCGAAACCCCGAAACCAGAGGCGGGTTAACTATCTTGCAGGAGCGGGATTACGCTAATCAAAGCTCTTCAGTTTAGAATCTATATGCGATAAATGAGTGGCGATTCAATAATTTTCACATATCTTGTTTTTAGTTAAATTTGCCTACAAGGCCATGTAATTTTCCATCTTCCTTTTACCAAAAGGACTTTATTGCACCAAATATGAGTCACATCCTGTGTATTTCACCCTTTCTTAGAATCTCGGTACCTGCTTTGTTTCCGTGTTCTTGTAGTGTGAAGTTAGCGTAGAACCTGGAGGTTAAGTACACTACAAGTTGAAAGGTCGCGGTGACCTTGGGAAATAGAGGTCAGTCATCCTCAAGCATATTCTACTGCAAGGCCGTGCGATGACAAGCCCATTGTTATGTCACTTTCGACCCCGTTGTTTTTTGTGGAACATAGGTCAAGGTGAAGTTCACCAAGACCGTTCAACACTTGGCAGTTACCTTGAAAAGCAGATCAACGTGAAACACAAAGGCCCGTATGTCCCCCACTAGGGTGCCACATGGTGATTTTAGAAAACGAGTCAAGCCCTTGTTCGCTCAGCCATTAATGACCCCTGAACGTTTCCCTGCCTTCAAGAATGAGACGTACTTTTTTGCATTTTTAACTATTATACTCTTTTGTAACTTTGGTCTTTTATTTATGTATACATTTATACTTTACCCTTGATCTGTTTATACATTTACTTACATGAAAGATGGTTAAAATTTCAATATTTGCCCTTCAAATAATTACCTTGGAAAGTTATACACTTTGAGCTTTACTGAGCGATTATAAAGCCCCCTCTTTCACGCGTATCGAAGAATAGTATGCCATGGATAGCCTATGCTGCGTACTTGTGATCAAAGCAAGCGATAGCAGTATAGTGATATTTTCAATCCACTCCATGTAAAGGTCAATTCGGGTATCGCCAAAGTTATCTAGCTCTCCTCTTGTTCAAAGTTCAAAAGTTGGCCGACATTCAAAGTTCAAAGTCTGCTCGCCGCGCAAAGTCCAAAGGTTGGTCGCCGTTCAAGTGTCCCAATTTTTTTGGGTTTATTTATTTTATTTTATTTATTTATTTTTTATTTTATTTATTTATTTTATTTTTTATTTATTTATTTATTTATTTTTGAGTGGGCGGGGTTTCAGCCAAGGCTGCTCTACCAACCCAACCCACTATACATTTACAAATATCCATGCCCGAACCCGGATTCGAACCAGGGACCCTAGCACCATAGTCCAGCTTCAACTGAACTGCGCCACACAGGCCGGCCGTTATATTTCATTAAGGTAACCCGAGGATAATAACCTGTTATGTAGTGTCATATTTCATTTTCAAGGTTATCAAAGTGCAATGACCTTATTTGTTGCGATGTCATATTCCATTTTTAAGATCAACTCGATGTCCCTAATTTATTGTGGTGTTAGTATAGCGGGATGTTTGGAGTTCAGCGATCACTTTCGAGTGGAAAAACGTAGCAACTTAGGCAGGCAACGTACTTGTGATCAAAGCAAGCGATAGCAGTATAGTGATATTTTCAATCCACTCCATGTAAAGGTCAATTCGGGTATCGCCAAAGTTATCTAGCTCTCCTCTTGACGAGGCAGTTCAAATTCAAAGGGTGTTCACTGTTCAAAGTCCAAAAGTTGGTCGGCGTTCAAAGTCCAAAGGTTGATCGTCATTAAAAGTTTGCTCGCCACTCAAAGTCCAAAGGTTGGTCGCCGTTCAAGTGTCCAGTTTGTAGGGTCATATTTCATTTTTTAAGGTAACCAGAGGTGGTGTCATATTTCATTTTCAAGGTTACCAAAGTTCAATGACCTTAATTGTTGCGATGTCATATTCCTTTTTTAAGATTAACTCGATGTCCCTAATTTATTGTGATGTTAGTATAGCGGGATGTTTGGAGTTCAGCGACCACTTTCGAGTGGAAAACCGTAGCAACTTAGGCAGGCAACGTACTTGATACGTTAACTTAAGACAATAAAAAAACAAAGCAAGTGATAGCCGTAGTGATATTGTCAGTCCACTACACGTACGGCTGCATTCGGATGCCGCCAAAGTTATCTAGCTCTCCTTTTGACGAGGCAGTTAAAATTCAAAGGGTGTTCATTGTTCAAAGTCCAAAAGTTGGTCGCCGTTCAAAGTCCAAAGGTCGGTTGACATTCAAAGTTTGCTCGCCGCTCAAAGTCCAAAGGTTGGTCGCCGTTCAAGTGCCTATTTTGTGGGGTTATATTTCATTTTTTAAGGTACCCAGAGGTTAACGACCTCTGTTTTGTAGTTATTTCATAACAAACACAAATTAAAAATAGAAAAAGTAAGAGCCTGAGTTTTTTTATTAAAATGACTGTAAAAATAACATTATTTAACTGTAATGGACACAATACGTATATCGTCAAATGGCTTATCGGTTTTGGCGTTAGTTCGTACATTTCCAATATTCTGTACAACTTCCATACCTCGGGTAACGCGTCCGAATACGGTATGCTTATTGTCCAGCCACGTTGTCGGAGCGAGAGTGATGAAAAATTGACTTCCGTTAGTATTCGGGCCGGCATTTGCCATACTCACGGTGTAAGGCCGGTCGTGCCTCAAGTGAGGTCGAAACTCGTCCTCGAACTCTCCGCCCCAAATACTTTCGCCGCCGGTTCCGTTCCCCGTAGGATCGCCGGTTTGTATCATGAATCCTTTGATGACGCGATGAAAAATGTGACCGTTGTAATAGCCGTTTCTGCTGTGAACGCAAAAGTTCTCGACCGCCTTGGGAGTATCCTTCGGAAACAATTGCAAGTGAATGTCGCCGAAGATGGTGTGTATGACTGCGGTATCGTACAGCCGTTGAACGGTCGCATTTTCCGTTGCGGCCATCGCCTCTTCCTTCGAGGGCTTTTCGTTGAAGACGTCGCGATCTTTTTGCTCTCCGGTACCCGTCGGATCGTCGGGGCCTCGGCGCGTAAACAAGTAGAAACGCGACTTCTTATAAGCGGTGCATATCACTGTCGGATCGGGTAAAATCGCCTCCAGCGTCGGATTATCCGATCCTTCCATTTCTAAGGTGACCGCCGCTTTCGTCTTCTTCGCCGAGCCCTGGTAGAGCGCTATCTGCAGCAAGCGTAGATTTTCATTTTTGCCGATGATTCGCACGCAACGATTAGTGTGTATGTTAACGAGCTTGATTCCCAACAGGGTTGCGTACAAGATAAAATTGCCGCTATTGTCGTACTGTATGTTGGCGAAATGGCTCGACTCCGACTTCTCCAGGTCCCGTTCCACGGCCATTCGCCGCCCGAACTCCATGTTGGGCAGCTGCTGGTGCGCCTGTTGCAACTCCGTGAAACGCGGTAGCGTTTCGTCCAACACTAAATTCTGCAAGTCGCAATTTCAGCGCCAAGACAAAAATCGTCGGCTACTTACGACTCGTCCGGTTAACGTCGTGAAAATTCGGATACGTCGATCGCTCGCGATCGTGGCGAATTTCATTCCGTCAGGTGAAAACGTTAGATTGTAAAGCGTGACCTTCGATTTGGCAAAGAGGTAGAGGTCGGTTTCTAATTTCGACTCAAACTGTAGATTGGTGGGGAATGCGAAGTCGCTTTTTAAATTTGTCCAGTACTCTTAAAATGCGAGAGAATGAAAATTAAAAATTATCGCAGTCTCCCAGATGAATATTGTTTTTGGGGAACAGGTGAGGCGACTTCTAGTATCAGGAGCTGGTGGGTATTTATCAATGCGTCTTGGTTTTTTAAGTGCCTCTAATCGTCAGTCGCGCCCGGGAGTCTGGGTGAGGACTCAGTATACATCCTTTTTATTAGGAATAAGGTATTACACGAGTTAGCTCGTCACGAGATAAAACCACTAACTCAAGAGATGCTTAACTTTAATATTTTGAATAATTAACATCTGTGATTGGTAGTACAAAAGACACTAACCAATAGAAAATTTAGACATCGCCATTTTGGAGATAAATCACCATTTGTGAGTGCGAATTAAAGAGGGAATCAATCAGAGTTGTAAAATTTAACAGATTGAATCTCTCAGCGAGCGAAAAGAGATCGCACGATTTTCAGTAAAAGGGCATTTTAGATTTTTCTTGAAGTCATAATTATGGTCTAATTTTTGGACTTGGACCAATTGACTATTGATCTCACATGTACCAGGCCCGTAGCCAGGATAAAGTAGCAAAGATAGCAAAAAGTTTCCTAGGTGGGGCTTAAAAAAAACAGTGATAACGAAATTTTCAAGTTATTAAAATCTGCAAATCAGCTTTTTGTGTTCTTTCTTTTTCAAAGGCTAAAAATGGCAAACTGGACCACCTTTTGAGGTTTATTTATCCTCACCAAGATAGAAAAACAAACACTACTTTGTATAGATGGGGCCACCTATCCACCACCTGGCTACGGGCCTGACATGTATCTAAGTGACAACAGTAAATATAGTATAACTACAACAAAACGGAATACGTACCTACCATTCCAATTTTATCCACTGAAATAGAGAAGCCGAAACGATGATTGTACTTCATCAACAAAACCGGTGCCGTATGCAGTCTTTCCAAAACGCGTATCGGCTTATTACCGCCTAGACCGTCATAAACATAAATCTTAGGCGAATCTAAATCGGCCACCGCCAAAGTTTGAATGGCATCACCGGCGCTGTGGATCCACTCGACGATGCTCGGCACGTACTCGAGCTTCATCATATCGATCATATCAAAATTGAGCACGTCGAATATTTTCAAGGACTTATCCGACGACGCCGAGCACAGCAGCGTACCCGGAACGTTGCTCGCGATGTGCGTGATCGAGCCGAGATGACTGCGAAAGTGTTTCACGAATTCCAAACCTTTCTCGACCTTTTTCCAGAATTTAATGTGACCATCGCAGCTGGCCGTGACTACGAAATCGCTGTCGGTGACCACGCAGTGCGTTACAACGTCACGATGCATGAAGCTTCTCTCGTAGGACTCGGCGCAGGGTAAATTTTCTAGGTATAGTTTCTCGTACTGTAAGACCTTACGTTTCTTTTGCTTAGGTCCGCAAAAGTCTTCACGATCTTCTTCCGCATCTGGCGGCTTAGTTTGCGGATCTTCCTCACTCATTTTATTGAAAATTTAAAAAAACAATTTTGAAAATTTATAGGTTATGAACAACGAGAGATCACTAATAATACTTGTATTAAATTCATACAGTGCAAAAATCATACATCACCGCGGCGGCAGCGAGTCAAAGAATAATGGTGTCGAGGCAAAATGTTCAATTTAGAACCGCTTGTATGTATTGTCGCAAACAATTCGGATTTTTATAATAAATAATTTCAAACTCGTTAAAAGACGGCGTTTCAAAATTGTAGGTTTCTAAAAAAGTCAAGGGATCAGTCGTTCGTTTTTAGAAAACGGCCATTTTGGTGCAACTAATTGTAATTCATTAAGACATTGGATTTTTAAAATAACCTTAAAAGTGTTAAACTAGAATGTGTTTGTTTTTCTTTTCATCGAAATACAACTATTGCTACTAATTCCGTCCGTCCGTCGATGGGTTTCGGATCTTAGCACTGAAAGCAAGTAGAAGTTCTGACAGCAAAGCTGTAATCATTAGCATATAACTGACTGTTGCTGATAATACTAATTTTCATTGTACTACCCTATTAAAAAACTATTGTCAGCGAGGTGTAGAGATTCCATTTTTAGTACCTTCAGCGGCCTTTTAAACTTTTTTTGTTAATCAAAATGATTACAACTACCCTAAAAAATTAAAACGGTTTGATACACTTATGGCCGTTTGCACCGACAAATTTAAGTATAGCTTAGCTTAAGCTTAGCTTAAGCGTAGCTTAAAATTCATGGCAACCATTGTCTCAATAATCGTTGCCATGGATTTGAAGCTACGCTTAAGCTAAGCTCCACTTAAATTTGTCGGTGCAAACGGCCATTAGCACTTTTAAGGTGCATTTGAGAAGTTCAACAACGTCAAACATTAATCATTTTGAGGATCCTACAGACGGACGTTCTTGGGTTCTTGTACACGTTTATGTACGTGCACCACCACTGCCTACGAACACATCTATAATTTCGTAGTATTTTGAGCGATGTCCAGGGCAATAGTTGAATTAGCATTAGAGTTTTGTATTAAATTTTACCCGAAATCTGAATAATGTCAATCTGTCAGTGATGGCAGGAGTCATTATAGACATTTGGAAATGTGAAAAATGCGGCCGATTTTGGGTAAAAAGCTTTTCGCGTAATAAAGGTCATGTAACGATATGTTTATTCTTATAAATAAGAAAAATAGCATTGCGCAGTACTGAAGTTGAAAATATGCGATATGTTTGCCTTTACTAGAAGAATGTTTGGTTCAAATTTCAAAGAAATGTCTCCATAATTAAAACAGTTGACACTTCGCAGTTTGCGCATGCGCACATCTAGTTTTTACAATATGTCTGGCTGTATTAGAAGCATCTATGGTTAAAAAAATATCTCCATAGATAAGAAAGATGACATTGTGCAGTTTAATCGTCAAGATTTTTGTTGGTTGAGGTGTCAGTGCGAATGCGCGTACAAAAACGTCCAACTGTATGGCTCTTTCGAGTTTTAGTTAATTATCGTTTCAACAATTATTTGGGAAAACTTAAATTTTCTCGGATTTGTGTATTGTTTTCCCTATGTCTAGTTTTAAATGATAAAAACCTTCTGAAGGACGCCTAATTTTATGCAACCAAAATAACTTCTTAAAACAAATGATGAACTGGCTGTCATATTAATTAATTCGAATATTACTGCTTTGGGTATTTTTGTTTTCGTTCGTGTGCGATGTATTCAACTGAAGAAAAAATTGATATTGAGAATTGTAAGTGATGATTACTTTAAAATTAGTGGTTATTTAAATGCGATTCGCATCGTAAACAACACTCAATTTTAACTGAGGATATGTAACTGAATTGATTAATTTTTGTGGAAGAGCAACCCATAAGAATCTTAAAGGAAATAGCATACTATTTACTGTCGTTTTTATTAAAATCTAGAATGTGGGTGCAAGATGCGTGTTTGTATTATTTTGGTTGCATAAAATTAGGCGTCTTTCAAAAGTAGACATTGGAAATCCCTGTATGCTTCTAAATGAATTACACTGTATATACTACCGCAAAAATCTCACAAAACGAATTGTGCCATTATCGTTCCTCCTCTATTGTACAGAAGTCTAGGCCATTACGTTTCAGCTATGGCATGAGACGATATCAATTACGTGCCGACTTAAAATTTTAGGCAAAACTGTTTAGTGTTTGGAAAGATTGTCTGTAGGTACTGTAGTGTGAATAACACCCCAATTACTTTGTATGGATCCAGACAGCTTTCGTGAAATTTATCGATGGCAGCTGCCATTCGGTATTTCCGATTTTAGTACTTCTTCCCTTTTTGACTCCTGTCTAACATTCGACCAAGTTGATGCCGGTAGTTCTAATGCTTTCTTGCGTAATATATGTAAATAGAACTACCAATATGTATCTTTCCAAATGACTTGTGCGGAAAATTTGAGGCTATTTCGTTCGAAAAATCACTATCGCGACTATCATTTAATAATGTGCATAAATCCCGACGCGCTAATGACGTAACATGAACGAAGAGCAAAAATTGCCTACGTCCCGCGTCCTTGAGCGAATAGTTCAAATCGTCATCACAAGCGAGTAAAGGTAGATTGTATGCTTATCCCAAACAGACGAAACGATAACGTAAATTTGAATCGCACTTGTAAGTAAATGAGACCGGAGATGGGGAAGCACAAAAAAAGTAAATCGGATCGGCGCGATCGTTACGAGAATCCGTTGGACGCGTCGCGCAGCGCCTTGGGCCTGAAGCTTATCCTTAAGGTGGGAAACCAAGGCACACCCGAGCATACGACAGATTGGCCGTATCCCAACACCACGAACATGGGTGACGAGGTAATAATACTTTGTTTGTCTTGTGAAATCATATGCAAATATTGTAGAGGTTTACGTTTGTTTGTTAGGTTAAGTGGGTAAAAAGTCTTATGTATTTAAAGTCCGATGATCGCTCATAGTTTTAAAGGGTTGCAAGCTCTCACATCGCGACTCGTCGAGAATTGTTACGATTTTGAAAAACATATATGTACAGGGTGTCCCAAATTCCAAGGGTGACCATCTCACAGACGGTAACAGATACGAACCCGTTAAATTGAGGCGAAGCCGAACCTAACACTGCCTCGAGAGTCAAGGAATTCCAAGTATTTTGGAGATAATCAGAAAAAACCGAAATTCGGTAACTTTTTGACTTTATTTGAAAAGGTTTTTAAAAACAAATGACACTTTCTCATTGTAACTTGATCTTCCCTACAAGTTGGCATATAATTAGATTTTAAGTAGGTAATTTTTTTGAAAGTGCCTGTCATTTTGAAAAAATACGTGTACAACTTGCATTAGTACGAACCTAAAATTGACAGTAATGCAAAATTAAAAAAGACAAGGTGGCTATGAAACAAAAGCATTAACTTGTCCTGAAATTTGAGTCTCCGTTACTTTGTATTGTGGGATTTGATTGCATTGTAGAAGAGTTCTACCCGAGAAAGTTTGGTGATGGAGTCTGGACTGTTGCCTGAAGAATTTAATTAAAAGAGTTACTTGGTTTTCCTTTGCCTTTTGCTTGATAATTACCAAAATGAGTGTCATTTTCTGGAAATTCAGCGAGTAGCATCAGATTATTGAACAGTAAAAATGCGTTTTTTGAATTTTTCCAAACATTTCTCAATTTTTCCTAAATATCTAATATCCATTTTCAAATTTTTGTGAGCATATTTTTAATTTTTTTGCATTTAGCAAGGCATTTATATACATACGTCCTCCGGGGTGAAAGGGTTAAGTTACTAATTATTCTAAATTTTTATTTCACTTCTTTTAAAATGTTTTCCAATGTCAATTTTGCGGTTTTTTAAATGTTACATTTTTTAAATTTTCAGTTTTTTTACTTTTTAAATAATTTGAATTTTTGACTTATTTTTATTTTTTCTTAATTTCAGAATTTCTAAACACTTTTTCTTTTTCCAAATTCTTAATTTCTTCAAAATTTAATATTTTTGTTAGTATGACATTTCACAATTTTTCCTAAATAATATCCATTTTCAAATTTTCGTGAGCATATTTTTAATTTTTTTGCATTTATCGAGGCATTTATATACATACGTCCTCCGGGGTGAAATGGTTAACTTCCTGATTATTCTAAATTTGTATTTCAATTCTTTTAAAATGTTTTCCAATGTCAATTTCCCGCTTTTTTAAATGTCACATTTTTTTTAAATTCTCAATTTTTTACTTTTAAAATATTTCGAATTTTTGACTTATTTTTATTTTTTCTTAATTTCAGAATTTCTAAACATTTTTTCTTTTTCCGAATTCTTTCTTTCTTCAAAATGTAATATTTTTGCTGGTATGACATTTCTCAATTTTTCCTAAATATCTAATATCCATTTTCAAATTTTCGGGAGCATATTTTTAATTTTTTTGCATTTAATCGAAGCATTTATATACATACGTCCTCCGGGTGAAGTTCCTAATTATTCTAAATTTGTATTTCACTTCTTTTAAAATGTTTTCCAATGTTAATTTGCCGGTTTTTTAAATGTCACATTTTATTAAATTCTCAATTTTTTACTTTTTTTAAATTTTTGACTATTTTTTCTTAATTCGAGAATTTCTAAATTTGTTTTCTTTTTCCGAATTCTTAATTGCTTCAAAGTTTAATTTTTTCCGAATCGTGACATCTTAAACCAAATGTTTTATTTTTCGAATTTTTAATTTTTCAAAATTTTAATTTGAAGTCTATTTAAATTTTCCGAATCTCTCGTTTAGCAGTTTCTTATTTTGTTTTCGATTTTTGAAATTTTTTTTTTAATTTTTTATTTCTCACATTTTTACAACGTTAATTGTTTGATTAGTATATGGCCCTTTGTTTTAACTTCATTCAGGAATTGTTCCAGGACCGAACGGACTTCATTTTTCTGCTTCTGCACAAATAATACTTACAATCCAGTCTAGCCAACGTTTTAACTCGAAAGTGCACATGTTGTTATCGCTTTTTATTTCTAGACATACTTTTGTTCATGTTCGCTATTAAGCGGTGTACGTGTAAATTTCCCAATGTTTAAGAAAACGAAATTTTTGAAAGGGCAAAGGAATCAGTGTTATAACATCCATCGCAAAATTGTTCCTTGCATTCATACACGTCGACTATCATATGCTTTAAGGTGCCCTTTACATGTTGCTTCTGCTGATGACCGAATTTTCGTGATAGAATATCTGATGTCACCAAATTTTCTTTGCCTGACGAAGACCCTATCCCTGTCAATTGGTTAGAATACTCGCACCTCGTTTTCCGAGTTATAAAAACCGAAGAATGTAAATGTAACCACACCGGCGCAGTACGACGCAAGTGACTTGTCACATGTATCGATCGGTACGCGAAACACCAGAGTGTGACATCAACGAAAAAAGAAGTGTTTAAAAAAATTATATAATCCGGCCGGGCCCCTTTGAAATGTAGATATATACGAGGTGCTCTATTAAAATTTGTTTTGCCAGATGGTTTCCATACATATCAGCGGTCTCTATATTGCTGTATGCCCAGTTTTACCGCATAAAGAATACAAAATGCTGAAATATGACGCAGAACTTCAAGGTTAACAAAAAATGAATGAGTCAGTCACCCAACGATTCGTTACTGAAAATGACTTCAAATTGCCACAAAAGCTAGAATTGTAAACAAAATTTAAATGCATTTCTTTTGTCGAACCTTTCAATTTTTTTTATTTTACAAATATACACACGGCTCGCCCAAATTATAAGAGACTCGAAATTTACTGGGTTCATAAACACACGTGACCTTGTTTTGATGAGTGCGAACAAAGAAAAAGTAAAGTGTTCAATAAATAAATAAGATGTGAGAAAGATGCCGTTTTGCAAAAACTAAGCTCTTCCTAAAAATGGGAGAGAAGCAAAGCGTTCAAGCAAAACAATAAAGGTTGCACTTGTAAAATTAAGTCCTCAATTAAATAGAATAGGGGGATTTATTTGATCTGCGTAGGAATGTTGAAAACTCCATTCTTCCATGTGTTATGGTCGCCCAAAGAATTAATGACGGATCGCAAATTTTAGAACTTTTGAGGGTGTAGCTCCCAATTTTGGAGTCAGTATTTTTGTCCTCTCTACACCCCAATTTAAAGCACCTTAACATGATAAGTAGTAGACAAGTTCGGGCGCAATTATTGCCAAAAACCGCATGTATTTCTTATGAGAAATTCTAAGGTATATTCTATTATTCTAAGTTTTTGTATCACTCGGGCGCATGCGCGCTCCGCTCTTTTGCGCAGAACTATCTTGGATCCGTCCTCCATACTGGACACCATTTTAGTCCGCCATCTTGGACGTCATCTTAATCAGCCACCTTGGACAACATCTTGATCAGCCATCTTGGAATCCTTGGAAAAACTCGCTCACGAACAGTGTATGCGATCTGAACGAAACATTCGTGACCAGCGTACCCCTTTAAACCAATAGGTTCCCCGCATCTCTGTCACGAACTCGGCCGGAACGAAACTTTAAGGGCCGAAGAGATGACGGCAACCTTGTCGCAATACGTTCCTCGCCTTATTGCGAAAAATAAAGACACCTTTCCGTATAACGTACGTTTTATCGCTAGACATAAGTATGTTCACGTTCCGTACGAAGCGGTATATGTTTAGCAAAGTATAAATTCTAAAAAATACTTTTTAATTCTAAAGCGGCCACCCGTTACATAATCCGAGAAAACACCCATGTTTTTTTAAACGAATAAAAGGATTGAGCATGTGGAATTGCAATTTTAAGTGCATTCGACAGTCCATTTTGTATTGTAAGGCTACATTTTTCTTTGTAGTACTTAGAAGAGGTCAAAATTCTGTAATGAAATATGGCGTATGGCGTGTTTGATCGTGAATATTCGGAAGCGTTCGGGAACTTTCGAGGAAGAGGGGCGTTTGCTATATAAGCAAACCGAATTGTGTTTCGGTCAGTTCTGACTACAGTACGAAGTGTTATGTTACAAATAATAATTACTGTTACTGAAATAATATATTAATAATAATATTCGATTAGGTGATGCAACAGTCTTTGATGGGCGATTACTTCTCCATACATCGTTCTCACCACAAAAAGAATAAGAAAAAGAAGAAGAAGAAAGATAAGAATAAAGATCGCGAACGTAAACATCGGCACCACCACAAGGACAAGAAACGTAAGCGGGTGGAATCGGGACAGGAAGAAGAGGACGGATCCGAGCACTCAAACACGCTCCATCCGTCCCACGTAATCGCTAACGTGGGCAGTCCTTCGGGTCGCGAGTTACGTCAATGTGTCCTAAGGCAACGCCAAGAACGTACGCCTTTGCAACGAGCGCTCGAGCATCTACTTAAGAAGCTGGAGCAGCGCGACCCGCAGCAGTTCTTCGCGTGGCCCGTCACCGATAACATAGCGCCCGGTTACTCGGCAATTATCACCAGTCCAATGGACTTCTGCACGATGCGCCAAAAGGTCGACGATAACCAATACAACAATCTCCAAGATTTCCTCGCCGACTTCAAGTTGATGTGCACGAACGCGATGCAGTACAACCAATCCGATACGATCTACTACAAGACCAGTAAGAAACTGTTGCACGCAGGCCTGCGATTGGTCCAACCCGACAAAATCGGCTGGCTAATAACGCTCACTCCCGACGTGACGAGTCGCGATTTGGGTTTCGAAATCACGCCGGAGCTGCGTCAGGAGCAGCGGGTGGGCGCGGTCGAGATCGACACGCACGACGAGGCCGAACCGGGCACGTCGACCGAGTACGTCAAGAAACGTCTGCCGACGACGAAGTTCGAGGCGATCCCCGACGATTTACTGCCCGAACAGATACTGGCGCGTGCGCAGCACGCGGCGCGCGAGGCCAAGGCGAAGCTCAGCGCGAAATCGAACACCGCCAACATGGGATTTTTGAGGCAACGCAAGGACGGATCGACGTTTCTCAATATACTCGTCGGCGGAGACGGCGTTATACCCGGCACGAAAAAACGGCCGGTTCTTTTGGGTTCGCTCACCGGTAAATTGGCGGAGGGCACTAGTCAGTTGCAAGTAAGTATCTTGCCGTAAGAGGTCGTTGTCACGTTCTGTTAGGGTTTTAGGGAGGACCGGCGCAATATCGCCAAGCCGGTCAAGCCGTTGTATTACGGCGCGTTCGGTTCTTATGCGCCCAGTTACGATTCGGCGTTCGCCAATTTAACGAAGGAAGAAAGCGATCTGGTGTATCAAACTTACGGATCTGATACTTCTGTACAGTATGCAGAGAGTATTCTCGGTAAGTACCCAACCAAGGTTTGCGATCTTGAGAACTGAGAGCATTAATTAAAATTTAACCTCTACAGCACTGGCAAACATTTTTCTATCAACCTTTACGGTACCCAAAGTCACTATGAAACCTTCACTTTCTTGCCTACTTCAGGTCACTCACTTTACCGGCATCTGTCACTTTTGCGGCCGCAGCTGTCGCATTGCAAAATGTCTATAATGACTCCTGTCATCCCTGACATATTGCGAAGCCCTTCGCTTGTCTAACCAGCCCGCATTTAATTCTAAGCGCGCTCGCTGATCACCAGACTTACTTTAGTTCACGTGTCCTATGAAGCGGTACAAATATAAATTTCCGTGTGTTGAACGAAATTCAAATTCGAAAAAATTGTCAAAACTGCGAGCGATCGTCCGCTACAATGTGCAACTATAGAACGGCCGCTCACTAGCTCGACTTCGCATCGCGATTTTACGAAGTTACGGGCACATTTGAAATATGCCATGTATAGGGAAATTATGTTTGCGCATGAGCAGTGCTTTGACTAGAGAAATTGCAATAAAAATCGGAATAACAATCGCTCAAAAGCAACGGTGTCGCTATAAATCCCTTGGAGGAATTTGGATGAACTAAAACCCGACAGTGGCGCCATAAATCCCCTGGTAAAATCTCGATTAACTAAAAAGCGACGGTGGCGCCATAAATTTCCAGGTGAAATTTGGATGAACTAAAACGCGACGGGAGCACCATAAATTCCCTCGCGAAATCTGGTTGAACTAAAAAGCGACGGTGGCGCCATAAATTCCCTGGTGAAATCTCAATGAATCTCGACGGTGACGCCATAAATCTAATCGTAAAATCTGGATGAACTAAAACGCGACAGTGGCTCTATAAATCCCCTGGTGAAATCTTGATGAACTAAACAGGGACGGTGGCGTCCTAAATTTCCTGGTGAATTCTTGATGAACTAAAACGTGACAGTGGCGCCATAAATCCCCAGGTCAAATTTCGATGAACTAAAAGCGACGGTGGCGCCATAAATCCCCTCGTGAAATCTCAATGAACTAAAACGCGACGGTGACGCCATAAATTTCCTCGTGAAATCTGGTTGAACTAAACAGCGACGGTGGCGCCCTAAATTTCCTGGTGAATTCTTGATGAACTAAAACGTGACAGTGGCGCCATAAATCCCCAGGTCAAATTTCGATGAACTAAAAGCGACGGTGGCGCCATAAATCCCCTCGTGAAATCTCAATGAACTAAAACGCGACGGTGACGCCATAAATTTCCTCGTGAAATCTGGTTGAACTAAACAGCGACGGTGGCGCCCTAAATTTCCTGGTGAATTCTTGATGAACTAAAACGTGACAGTGGCGCCATAAATCCCCAGGTCAAATTTCGATGAACTAAAAGCGACGGTGGCGCCATAAATCCCCTCGTGAAATCTCAATGAACTAAAACGCGACGGTGACGCCATAAATTTCCTCGTGAAATCTGGTTGAACTAAACAGCGACGGTGGCGCCCTAAATTTCCTGGTGAATTCTTGATGAACTAAAACGTGACAGTGGCGCCATAAATCCCCAGGTCAAATTTCGATGAACTAAAAGCGACGGTGGCGCCATAAATCCCCTCGTGAAATCTCAATGAACTAAAACGCGACGGTGACGCCATAAATTTCCTCGTGAAATCTGGTTGAACTAAACAGCGACGGTGGCGCCCTAAATTTCCTGGTGAATTCTTGATGAACTAAAACCGACGGTGGCGCCATAAATCCCACGGTGAAATTTCGATGAACTAATAAAAATCGACGGAGGCCGGCCCGTGTAGCGCAGTGCTTGCCCGTGTAGCGCAGTTCAGTGGAAGCTCGACTGCGGTACAGGGTCCCTGGTTCGAATCCGGGTTCGGGCATGGATATTTGTTGTTGTAAATGTATAGTGGGTTGGGTTGGTAGAGCAGCCTCGGCTGAAACCCCGCCCACTTAAAAATAAAGGCAAAATAAAAAAAAAATCCCCTGGTGATAGTGGCGGCATAAATTTCCTCACGAAATCTGGTTGAACTAAAAAGTGACGGTGGCGCCATACATTTCCTGGTGAATTCTTGATGAACTAAAACGTGACAGTGGCGCCATAAACACCCTCGGTGAAATTTCGATGAACTAATAAAAATCGATCGAGGCACCATGAATCCCCTGGTGAACTCTCGATGAACTAAAACGCGACGGTGACGCCATAAATCTCCTTGTGAAATCTGGATGAACTAAAACGCAACAATGGCGCCCTAAACACCCTCGGTGAAATTTCGATGAACTAAAACCGACGATGGCGCCATAAATCCCCTGGTGAAATCTCGATGAACTAACCAGCGACGGTGGCGTTATAAATACCCTGCTGAAATTTCGTTGAACTAAAAGGTGCTCGTGGCGCCATAAATCCCTTGATGCAATTTCGATTAACTGAAAAGCGATGGTGGCGCCACAAATGCCCCGGTGAAATCTCAATGAACTAAAAAGCGACAGTGGCGCCATAAATCCCTCTGTGAAATCTCGATGACCTAATAAAAATCGATCGAGGCGCCATAAATCCCCTGGTAAAATCATAATGAACTAAATATAAAGTGACGATAGCGTCATAAATCCCCTGCTGCAATCTCGAGTCCTTTTTCCAATCTGAATGTACTTTTTCTTTTTCCTTTTGTTCTATATGATGTTCATTGGAAATAAACATTATTATTATTATTAACTGAAAAGCGACGGTGGCGTCATAAATCTCTTCGTGAAATCTGGATGAACTAAACAGCCACGGTGGCGCCTTAAATTTCCTGGTGAATTCTTGATAAACTAAAACGTGACAGTGGCGCCATAAATCCCCTGGTCAAATCTCGATGATCTAAAAGGACGGTGGTGCCATAAATCCCTCGGTGAAATTTCGATGAACTAATAAAAATCGAACGAAGCGCCATAAATCCCCTGGTGAAATCTCAATGAACTAAACAGCGACGGTGGCGCCCTAAATTTCCTGGTGAATTCTTGATGAACTAAAACGTGACATAAACCTCTCGGTGAAATTTCGATGAACTAATAAAAATTAACAGAGGCGCCATAAATCCCCTGGTGAAATCTCAATGAACTAAACAGCGACGGTGGCGTCCTAAATTTCCTGGTGAATTCTTGATGAACTAAAACGTGACAGTAGCGCCATAAACCCCTCGGTGAAATTTCGATGAACTAATAAAAATCGACCGAGGCGCCATAAATCCCCTGGTGAAATCTCGATGAACTAAACAGCGACGGTGGCGCCCTAAATTTCCTGGTGAATTCTTGATGAACTAAAACGTGACATAAACCTCTCGGTGAAATTTCGATGAACTAATAAAAATTAACAGAGGCGCCATAAATCCCCTGGTGAAATCTCGATGCACTAAAAAGCGACGGTGGCGCCATAAATTTCCGTGTGAATTCTTGATGAACTAAAACGTGACAATGGCGCCATAAATCCCCTTGTCAAATCTCGATGAAATAAAAGCGACGGTGGCACCATAAATTTCCTGGTGAATTTGGATTAACTGAAACGCGACGGGGGCACCATATATTCCTCGCGAAATCTGGTTGAACTAAAAAGAGACGGTGACGCCCTAAATTTCCTGGTGAATTCTTGATAAACTAAAACGTGACAGTGGCGCCATAAATCTTCTGGTCAAATCTCGATGATCTAAAAGGACGGTGTTGCCATAAACCCCTCGGTGAAATTTCGATGAACTAATAAAAATCGACCGAGGCGCCATAAATCCCCTGGTGAAATCTCGATGAACTAAACAGCGACGGTGGCGCCCTAAATTTCCTAGTGAATTCTTGATGAACTAAAACGTGACAGTAGCGCCATAAACCCCTCGGTGAAATTTCGATGAACTAATAAAAATCGACCGAGGCGCCATAAATCCCCTGGTGAAATCTCGATGAACTAAACAGCGACGGTGGCGCCCTAAATTTCCTGGTGAATTCTTGATGAACTAAAACGTGACAGTGGCGCCATAAACACCCTCGGTGAAATTTCGATGAACTAATAAAAATCGACCGAAGCACCATGAATCGCCTGGTGAAATCTCAATGAACTAAAACGCGACGGTGACGCCATAAATCTCCTCGTGAAATCTGGATGAACTAAAACGCAACAAGGTGCCATAAATCCCTCGGTGAAATTTCGATGAACTAATAAAAATCGACAGAGGCACCATACATTTCCTGGTGAATTCTTGATGAACTAAAACGTGACATAAACCTCTCGGTGAAATTTCGATGAACTAATAAAAATCGACGGAGGCGCCATAAATCCCCTGGTGATTCGATTAACTAAACAGCGACGGTGGCGTTATAAATATCGTGCTGAAACTTTGATGAACTAAAAGGTGTCTGTGGCGCCATAAGTCCTCTGGTAAAATCATAAATAAAATAAAAATATAAAGTGACGATAGCGTCATAAATCCCCTGACGCAATCTCGATTAACTGAAAAGCGACGGTGCCGCCATAAATCCACCGGTGAAATTTCGATGAACTAAAACGCGACAGTGCCCATTTTGCCCATTTATTAATCGGGTTGTCCTTGTATGTAAAACGTTGCGACGACCTGGAAGGGTTTGTTCACCAAATGCAAACAGCCCTGCAAATCAGGTTTCTCAGCAGTTTTGTCTGGCTCCGCGATTTTCTGAAATTGGTAGAGGTGTTTTTTTACACATGAAACGCGCTTTTCGAAAAAATAAAGTCGCCAAGAATTTCTCAGTTACGCTCGAAGTCAAGCTCAGAATACCGGTGTTTTCGTTGGGTTGGCTATTTGCATTTTGCCCGCTGGAAAAACCGAAAACGGAACCTAGTCAAGTCGTTCTCTGTTGTTGTACGTAGACATCACACCATACCAGTCTGCGTTTTATTCGAAATGCGCACCTTTACCGCTCTGATCTCCAGACATACTTTCGTTCACGTTTACCATGAAGCGGTGTACGTGTAAATTTCCCTATGTTGAACGAAATCCAAATTCGAATAAAATAATTTTTAATACTGCAAAGTGGTCGCCCGTTACAATACGTAGAAGGTGCGGCGAGGTTTGATTGGTAGACGGTTTTCCGGATAATAAGAATTGGTGTTCTGATCTCTACGGGATTGGAACGAATTTCATAACATTCCTCTTTTTACGATTTTAAATGAACCTATTCCTTAAAATATGGATGGCTAAATTAACATGTACCGGATCATTCACTATATTTTGACCCCCCCCCCCCCTTTAAACACATTTTCTATCATGCAGGGTTGTTTTGCAAAAAATACAAAACTGGAAAATTCTAAATGAGACACTGGATTTAAAAAAAATTCAAAAGCCTTTTTTTAAAAAACGGTTAATGATAATATAGATTTATCTTCAATAGATTCACTTAGAGTCAATAAAATAGAGATCGCTTTTGGGATACCCTGTATACATAACACTACCAAATTTGAAAAATTGTGCTTAGATTAAACAACTTTTGTATTAAACTTGCGAAACCTGATAGAAAATGAGGAGAGGAGGTCAAAATGTAGTGAACAACCCCATGATTTTTGTGAATCACCCTGTAGATTGCTTGAAAATGTTTATATACATAAATTATCCGTTTTTTAGATTTCGCGAAAGACTGTGATTATACGCTGCAAATGGTGGACAGTTTGCTGGATCTGCTGACAGGCGGCGATCATTCAAAAACGAAGAAAATTTTGGAAGAGAAAAAAATGATGCGCGAAGAAGAGGACGCGATCAAGACGGTTTTGGAGACGAAACCTGCCGCGTCCTCTACCGTGCCGGTCGATATCGACGATTTGCGTAGCCTGAGTCAGCACGGAATAAACGTGGACTTCCTCGACGGCATGGAGGAGGACATTCGCACGTTCGAGGATTGGCAGCACCTGCAGCAGCGGCTCGACGCCAACTCGCAACTGCTGGAGTGCCTACAGCGGAAGCAAAACTCGCGATTGTCGATGCCGTTACCGCAACATCTGAACAATGTTCCGCCGCCGTCCGAAGAAGAAGTGCAACTCGCCGAGAGTGTCACCGATAACTTGGCCGATATGGCGAAACGTATAAATCCGGGCGACATTGCGCCGGTTCAAGGCATTCATAAGGCGCTGGGTGTTAGTTTGCCATCGGATATGGAAGTGGGAGGGCCGGATGTACCTGATTTAGAAAGTGAACTGAGGCAGTTTTTGGAAAGTGAACCGTCTCTCGCCCAATCACCTTTAAGGGATGATAAGACTATCGAGGAGATACTTATGGAGTAAAAGATTTTATTTAATCGTGCTATTTCTGTTATGTACGTAACGCCTAACTAAAGAACAGTGTTTTGTTTAGCATTTACATCAGCAAATGTAATTATTTTTAAAATTTTAAAATATATGATAAATATAGTCTTAACTTAAAAAAGCCTGGAAGCCGATCTCTGTAATTGCAGACTTCTTCAGAACCGAGCAGTGGATGCCGTCCGCGACTATTCCCCCCAAAACTAAACCAGATCCCGCCATAGAGGAAATACAATAAGAGTTACAAACAAATAGGATAAACTGGTATTGCAAATTTTTGCTCAGGAGATGCCGTCCTCTGCTTTTTAAAGGGGTGTAACTAACCCTAAAAAATAGAAAATCGTACGTTCCTTAGCGTGCCGATATGCGGTCCCCTCGTTCTGAGATGGCGCTATAGTTAGTCGAGGAGCGCTTAGTTACGAAATGCGTTCTCGTAAATCTAGTTTAGAAAAACGTGCGTAGTTCCTTCACTCTCACACTTTAGACTCTTTAGAGTTTCATTACAATTTTTCTCTACGTTTTAAGACATCAATACAATTTCAACCGAAATACAGTTCAACAAACGCCCAACGTACTTATTTGGTTTCAGCAATGGCGCAATTTACGACATTTACTGTAATGGTCAACACTCAACTGCAAGTGTACAAGCTAATCTACTATGAAATATGACACTTTCTATACAATGTGTAAAAGATAATTCGCTTAATTCGAAGAAATATGACAAAACAAAAGGTGTAAAAATTAGGAAAGAGAGGTTTTAAATTTGATAGCTAGAAATTGAAATTATAAAGGCTCTCCGGTGTGAGTTGTTTCTTCAACACGGAAGACAACTTGGATCTTATTCTTACCAGACCACATACAGTGAGTTTTTTTTTAATGTGAACATAGGAGTTTGCATGCAATGTAATTTCCCTATGTTCGATTTTAAAAAAAACATCAATCTATGAGATGTGCGCGGTTCACATTCCCAAAACGCGCAATTTGTGTGACTATGAACAGCAACTCATAGTCTTTATGATGAAGAGCACTCGGTAAGATTCTTTTAATTAAGCCATGTGAGGCCATAGCAACTTTAGGATAAATTTTTCTTAAACTTACGATAACTTGACTTCACATGGGACGCGCTGACATCACAATTCATTGTGAACCAACCTTCAATTATTTGTAGGTCATGTGCACCTGGTATTCTACTAATTTGATTTATTCAATAAATACAGAAAATAAATAACGAAAACAATCACAATAAATGTTCGAAGTGTCCTTCTTGACATTCTAAGCAATAACCTAACCGATTTCGTAATTAAATTGGACGGCGGCATTTTTAAAAATGTGGCAGCTGTCAATTGTATCTACTACTCATTTGAACTACTCAATAGATTGATGTGTTTTTTTTAAATCGAACATAGGGAAATTACATTGCATACAAACTCCTATGTTCGCACTTAAAAAAAATTCACTGTATGTTCTACAATCCAACCAGTAACCAGCAATGCAATGAAAGTAGATCGGCAAAGATTGTACTTTTTTGCGTATTTTAGCGCTGGTGCTATTGTTTTGCGTGTTCTCCGTCGGTCAGGAACCACTTTTGCCGTGTTGAACTACTTTTACGGAAATGGTCCTAAACTTTTACATGCGACAACCAATAGTGGTTACGTCATAATAGCCCGCGAAATTCGAATTGCAGGACTTGTTTGTTTTACTGTCGGAAATATTGACCCCTATCGCCCTATCCATTGAGATGTCTGCTTTCAAATTTCAAACAAGAAGTTCCGTTACCGTATATTGAGACACCGTTTAAGCTACCGTTGCCAGATACCGAGCCACAATTCAATAGCGTTCCCATGAAAAAACAATCGGTCTATTATTAATCAACAATGTATTCAGTCTTCAATGTCAGCAATTATAACAATGGTAGTCTGTATAGGGAGGAAATGGTGGATAGATTTAGTTTTTGCCGAGTTAGCTTTTTAGAGCTCCCACAGGTTCATTTTTGTCTTTGAGTTCACTTTGCTTTGGGTGATCAAGGGTGCTGCTCATTGTAACAGAAAGGTAATGTACTTAGTTGTAATTGATTTATATTGTAGATTATGTTGCCTTCAGCTAGTTGTAATGCAGGGTAAAGTGATTCTTAAATTTGGTGTAATTTGCTTTCATGTAAAAGTGGTTCCTGTTTGATTTGTTGAAGATTGGCCAGTTATCAATTTTCATGTGTTTGTTTTGAACCCATTTGGATTGATTAGCGACTTCAATTCTTTGTGTACGAATCAGCCTTTTTTTGAGTGTAATTAACCGTTTCGCCCTTGCAGAGGTATATGCCGGAGTGATAAAGATACTTAGCGGCATGTATTTCGAACGACAACTTTAGTCTAAGGTTACCGTATCCAGGATCTTAGATACCTGCTAGATTGGAGGAGGTCTGGCTAATTAATGATGTTTATTTTATGCACTTTATGTAAGAGACTTCGGAATGTATCTTTCACACCTGAGAAAGGATTGAAGGTGCTTTTTAAATCTACTTGCGATGGCCATCCTTTAACTTATCAAGTTTGTATTGTACTAACGTCAGATTTCAATCTGTCCAATTCAAGAGTTACTTACTCGGATTATTATTCTTTGTATAACTATTGTAGCTGTGTTGTAAAATGTGTTTAGCGTTATCCAATGTTACCTCTCATTCTCCAGATTTTCCCTCTAGATTTCACCTCTGTGAACAGTGAGTCGGAATTTTCTTTAGCACGGTTCTTTTGTCCGATGAGTTCTAGGGGAACCTGGCACTTTTTGGCTTTAAATGTATTCTGTCTAAATTTGTAGGATGTCTTTCGGCCTTTTGATTCATTTTTTACACTTTTGATCGGTTCTTTAATAAACTTTATTTGTGTTTCAAATTCAATTAAGCGTATTATTTGCGTTCCGCCTTTCCAATAATTAGCATGGGTACGAGTGAGTGCAACCTGGCTTTCCACAACGTAGGGGTTCCGGCCATTGTCGAGTGCGAGGTTTGTGTTACTACGCAGGTGTTCCGAGTTCGTGTTTTTCCCGCTTTCGTTAGCGCGGGAGCTGTCGACTTGGGTACATCACACCATTAAGGATCATTTTTAAATAGGTCCTCTTTACGGGCTTATACTGACCTTATGTGCATTAAATAAGCATATCGACCCTCTTATATCGAAACACTGATTACTTAACTTTAAAACAGAGCAATAATCGTTAAATAAAATCCATTAATTGCGTTATAATTAAAAATTAAAGATATGTCTACCATATTTACACTTTACGGTTGGCAAGATGGAATGATTATGATATGACCTTGTTCTTGTGTTTACATTTTCCCAATTGCTAGACTTGGTCGTTTACTTGCTTTTAAAGTTAAGTAATCAGTGTTTCGATATAAGAGGGCCGATATGCTTATTTAATGCGCATAAGGTCAGTATAAGCCCGTAAAGAGGACCTATTTAAAAGTTATACTTAATGTATTGGGTGATAGGGGTCAACATCTTCTACAGTAAAACAGCCAAGTCCAGCATTTCGAATTTCCCGCTCAAATTTGACGTCACACTAATAGAGTCATACCATTGAGAGGTTCCACCCTGTATATACAACTTACGACGATACATACATTTTTGAGAGTTGGCAACCATGCAATTTCTAGGTGGGAAAAAAAGCTGCTTGCGCCACCTAGAAAGCACGAACGAGAGTTACGTTTTTGGCATCTTGTCTTGAATGGCGGTCGTGAACGTTTCGCTCCATAAATGTTTGTTGTTATTTTGTGTTATTTAATTTATTATTATTATTAATTTTTGCATTTCTTTATATCGTATTTGTGTTTTGTTTGCCGCATTTTATATTTTTTGTGTGTTTCAATATTACTTTTTGAAATTTACTTGGTTTAACCGCAATGCAATCATATGTGTGATACCGTTATGCTATTGTTTGTAATTGTTTACATTTTTGGTGTAATGTTTGCTTAATTTATGTTTATTGATGTTGATTACTTGGTCTTGTCCCTGAAGTTACATTCATGTAAGTTTTCATTTTATTTTAATATGTGGAAATTGCTGATTCGTTTGATGTATGTACTGACTTGTTGTTTGTTACTAACAATTTTCTCCGTGAATGAAGCAGTCTCGGGAAGGTGGAAAAAGAAACTGTAGTATATAATTATGTGTTAGGGCACCTAATTCCGTGCACTGTCTTCGACATCCAACTGTAGGTTCGAAACCCCGAAACCAGGGGGGGACTACCCATCTTGCAGGAGCGAGATTACGCTAATCAAAGCTCTTCAGTTTAGAATCTTTGTGCGATAAATGAGTGGCGATTCAATAATTTCCACATATTTTGTTTTTAGTCAAATTTGCCTACAAGGCCATGTAGTTTTCCATCTTGCTTTCAACAAAAGGACTTTATTGCACCAAAGATGAGTCACATCCTGTGTATTTCACCTGCTTCTACCTGACCCATTGTCCCCAAAAACTTGCTTTAACCTTGAGTGTAACCAACATTGTGTATATGCATTTACTATCTTTGTTAACTACTGCCTAAACTTTTACAAAATATTTTGTTAATTAACTTTTAGACTGTTTTAATCAAACTGCAAGGTTTTTCTTACGTCGTACTCTTTTTATCCTTGGCAGTGACTTTTGCGAGAGTACGACACCTTTTGGCTTTGTTTGTTTTGTTTACATTAACGTACATCAACTAAATTTCCGGGTTTTCACAATCATAATAATTACTTTATATTAAAATTATATTAAAAAAATACTTAAATAATTAATAAAAATTGAGGACACACGGGTCTTTTTATTTCTAATGTACTTTGTGGATCAGAAATAAAAAATGAAGGCGGGATGCCCCCATTTCAGTGTTTTATTTAACGTTCCTTCCCTACTGTGCTTCAGGTCAAAGTGTTCTCTATAACTAACGTAAGGGGGCCCTGCTTTAGATGTTTTATCACGTGCCACTTTTTAAGTTTAAGCGGGATCTTGTTTAGTTTTGGAGGGAATAGTCATTCGGGTGGCCATTTTTAAACGTTGCCGGGTTTATTTTATTTCCGTGTTCTTGTAGTGTGAAGTTAGCGTAGAACCTGGGGGTAAGTACACTACACCATTTTACACGCGC